TCCTGTTGTTGTGTTTCCCAACCTCATTCTCTGCAGAAAGTGTCGTTATTGCAGCCAGAGTGTCTTCTGAAACTAAGCTTGGTTCCTTTAAGGACGGTCTGACGACAACCAGACCCGCAGCCGTTATAAAAGGACTGGGAAGAAAAGGGCCGGTCACTTTGCCCTTGGGGGAGGCGTGGACCGGCTGTCCCCCCCCCCCCCCAAGTATGGAAAGCAGGAGCTTTCCAGATCTTCAGCTCCCCAAGCAGGGAGTTGGAGAAGGACGAGGGGGGACAGGATAGCAGTTCTTCCAATATCTCAGGGGCTGCCCCAAAGAAGAGGGAGTCAAGCTATTCTCCAAAGCGCCTGAAGGCAGGACGAGAAGCAATGGGTGGAAACTCATCAAGGAGAGAAGCAACCTAGAACTAAGGAGAAACTTCCTGACAGTGAGAACAATTAACCAGTGGAACCACCTGCCTCCAGAAGCGGTGAATGCTCCAACACTGGAAGTTTTTAAGAAGAGACTGGACAGCCATTTGTCCGAAATGGTATAGGGTTTCCTGCCTGAGCAGGGGGTTGGACTCGATGACCTCCAAGGTCCCTTCCAACTTTATTATTATTATTAACAACCTGCCTCCAGAAGCGGTGAATGCTCCAACAATGGAAGGTTTTAAGAAGAGACTGGACAGCCATTTGTCTGAAATGGTATAGGGTTTCCTGCCTGAGCAGGGGGTTGGACTAGATGACCTCCAAGGTCCCTTCCAACTTTACTATCATCATCATCATCATCATTATTATTATTATTATTATTATTATTATTATTATTAACCAAATGCGGCCACTTGAAGACTTGCGGACTTCAACTCCCAGAATTCCTCAGCCAGGCATGCCAAGTTGGAAGACCCCTGCCTTAAAGCGTCCAATACAGACTTTGCACCTTTAAGAGGAAATTGAAGTCTCCCCATCTTAAGCACGCTGGCTAGGGGATTCTGGGAACAGAAGTCTACCCCTGCTGGATGGGGAATTCTGGGAGTTGAAGTCCACAAGCCATCAAAGGGCCAAGTTGGAAGACCCCCCCCCCCGTCTTAAAGCATCCTGGCTGAGGAATTCTCAACTTCAACTCCCAGAATCCCCCAGCTAGCATAGCAGAGTTGAAGTCTACCCGTTGGCCAGCTCCCAAGATTGAGAAACACTCCTTCCCCCCCCCCGCCCCGTCCAGGCTTGTCTGCAAAGCTACGAGACAGATAATAAATAAGGCAGCCATTGCTGCTGCGTGGGAGGCGGCAGATCGGCTCCTACGGAAGCCGCAGCCGAAATTGGGGTGCAGTTGGAAAGTTGCATGCCAGTACAGGGGTGAAACTGGACGGCTGGACAGGCCGGATTGGAGGAAAAAGATCCGAAGCGTTCTAAGTTGATTTGCTAGCTATTGCAAATCTTGAGGAAAGTTAACAGCAGGGGTCTTCCAACTTGGCCCTTGGATGACTGGTGGACTTCAACTCCCAGAATTCCTCAGCCAGGCACGCGTGCCTGGCTGAGGAATTCTGGGAGTTGAAGTCCACCAGTCATCCAAGGGCCAAGTTGGAAGACCCCTGTCTTAAATCTAACAAACAAAATGGAGGCTGGCTGAGGAATTCTGGGAGTTGAAGTCCACCAGTCATCCAAGGGCCAAGTTGGAAGACCCCTGTCTTAAATCTAACAAACAAAATAGAGGCTGGCTGAGGAATTCTGGGAGTTGAAGTCCACAAGTCATCAAAGGGCCAAGTTGGAAGACCCCTGGTTAACAGGTAGTTTTTGACTTATTGAGCCTGAAATTTCCGTCATTATGTGAGGCAGTTAAGTGAGTTGCTCCCCATTACGACCTTTTGGGGGGGGCACGGTTAAGTGAATCCTGTGGTTGTTAAGCAAATCCCGCTTCCCCCCAATGACTTTGCTCATCAGAGGGTTGCAAAGGGGGAATCACATCACACACACACACACACACACACAGAGGACTCTGCAACCGTCATTTAAAAATACATGCCAACTGATCGAATTTTGATCACGTGACCCTGGAGATGCTGTAGTGGCCGTAAGTATGAAAAACGGGTCATAAATGAATAAATAATAAAGTTGGAAGGGGCCTTGGAGGTCATCTAGTCCAACCCCCTGCTCAGGCAGGAAACCCTATACCATTTCAGACAAATGGCTGAAGTCATCATAATAATAATAATAATAATAATAAAGTTGGAAGGGACCTTGGAGGTCATCGAGTCCAACCCCCTGCTCAGGCAGGAACCCTACACCATTTCAGACAAATGGCTGTCCAATCTCTTCTTAAAAATTTCAGTCACTAAACGAAGTCGAGGAAGGCAGGAAAATGGAAATACGCACTCCGTGTGCTGCAGCTGCCAAAAAGGCCAACACAGTGCTGGGCTGCATTAACAGAGGGATAGAATCAAGATCACGTGAAGTATTAATACCACTTTACAAGGCCTTGGTAAGGCCACACTTGGAATACTGCATCCAGTTTTGGTCACCACGATGTAAAAAAGATGTTGAGACTTTAGAAAGAGTACAGAGAAGAGCAACAAAGATGATCAGGGGACTGGAGGCTGAAACATATAAGGAAAGGCTGCTGGAATTGGGTCTGTCTAGTTTAATGAAGAGAAGGACGAGGGGGGACATGATAGCAGTGTTCCAGTATCTCAGGGGCTGCCCCAAAGAAGAGGGAGTCAAGCTCTTCTCCAAAGCGCCTGAAGGCAGGACAAGAAGCAACGGGTGGAAACTAATCAAGGAGAGAAGCAACCTAGAACTAAGGAGAAACTTCCTGACAGTGAGAACAACTAACCAGTGGAACAACTTGTGGATACTCCATCACTGGACAGTCGCTTGTCTGAAATGGTCTAGTCCAGAGGTCGCCAACCTATTGGGCACCAGGGGCCGGTTCCGTGGAGAGAGGTTTTTTCTGCGGACTGGAGGGTGCGTGATTTTGTGTGCTGCCTGCATTGCACAGATGGGACTTTGTTTGTGCGGACCAGTTGCTAGCATGCTGTGGACCGGGGGCTGCGGACCCCTGGTCTAGGGTCTCCTGCTTGAGCAGGGGGTTGGACTAGAAGACCTCCCAGGTCCCTTCCAAGCCTGGTGTTCTGTTCTGAACTGGCACGACACCAAATTGATCCTCAGCTACATTGCAAGGGACAGGAAGGTAGCCGTGGAGCACAAAGGCAGAATCAACGCCCTAAAGCTGGGAGGACGTGGGGAAGGATGCTCTCACCTCCGCCCCAGGGGAGCTAAGAAGCCGAGCACTGGCACCGCCTGGGGTTTCCGAGATCGTTAGTGGAGCCCTTGGGGACCGCTTTTGTTTTGCACAAAGGTTGTGTGTTTGTGAGAAAGAGCGCTTGTCCTGTGGCTTGTTGGGAATCCTCAAAGTCAGCATCTGAAAGGGTGCGGTGTTCAGCACCCAGAATCCTCAGCCAACATGCTTTAAGGCAGGTGGACTTCAATTCCCAGAATCCCCCCAACTGGCATGGCTTAAGATGGGTGGACTTCAACTCCCAGAATCCTCAGCCAGCATGCTTTTAAGGCAGGTGGACTTCAATTCCCAGAATCCCCCCAACTGGCATGGCTTAAGATGGGTGGACTTCAACTCCCAGAATCCTCAGCCAGCATGCTTTAAGGGAGGTGGACTTCAACTCCCAGAATTCCCCAGTCAGCATGCTTGAAGAGGAGTGGACTTCAGTTCCCAGGATTCCCACCCAGCACGAGTGGCTGGGGAATTCTGGGAGTTGGAGTTCGCCCATCTAATTTGCCACGGTTGAGCAGTACGGCTCTTGGGCCTGGCTTGCCTTTGAGAAGAACTCTGCCTTGGTCCAGCTTCTATGCAACCGTCCGTGATGCAGCCACTCTCTGCACCCATCCAAATTTAAAAGGTTGCCCCCAACTCAGAATAATGCCAGCAGTTGCCAAGCAGAAGGGAAGACATCTTCATCTTGAACATGGGGGAGGAAAGGGGTCAGATCTGTTGGGGGGCAATTACTAGTGAGTTCTAGTCCCGCCTTAGGCACGAAAGCCAGCTGGGTTTGGATTTTGGGCCAATCGCCAGGAGACGGTGAGTTCTAGTCCCGCATTAGCCATGAAATCTGGCTGGGTGATTCTGGGCCAGTCACCAGGAGTTGGCGAGTTCCAGTCTCGCCTTAGGCATGAAAGCCAAACTAGGTGACTTTGGGCCAATCACCAGGAGACGGTGAGTTCTAGTTCCGCCTTAGGCATGAAAACCAAACTAGGTGACTTTGGACCAATCGCCAGGAGACGGTGAGTTCTAGTCCCGCCTTAGGCATGACAGCCCACAGGGTGACTTTCGGCCAATCACCAGGAGACAGTGAGTTCTAGTCCCGCCTTAGGCACGAAAGCCAAACTAGGTGACTTTGGACCAATCGCCAGGAGACGGTGAGTTCTAGTCCTGCCTTAGGCACGGAAGGCAACTGGGTGACTTTGGGCCAATCACCAGGAGACAGTGAGTTCTAGTGCCGCCTTAGGCATGACAGCCCGCAGGGTGACTTTGGGCCAATCACCAGGAGACAGTGAGTTCTAGTCCCGCCTTAGGCAAAAGCCAAACTAGGTGACTTTGGACCAATCGGCAGGAGACGGTGAGTTCTAGTCCTGCCTTAGGCATGGAAGGCAACTGGGTGACTTTGGGCCAATCGCCAGGAGACGGTGAGTTCTAGTCCTGCCTTAGGCACGAAAGCCCGGAGGGTGATTTTGGACCAATCGCCAGGAGACGGTGAGTTCTGGTCCTGCTTTAGGCATGACAGCCAAACTAGGTGGCTTTGGGCCAGTCCCTCCCTCCCTCCCTCCCTCTCAGCCCAGCCCATCTCACAGGGTTGTGGGGAAAATAGATGGAAGGAGAAGTAGTGTGTGTGTGTGTGTGTTTGCCACCTTTTCAAAGTTACCGTACTATTTATAAAGGCAGGAGGTGAGTGACTGAACAAGGGTGGGATTGCCTGCAACGTCATCGCAACGCCTTTTCTCTGCTCTCCGGGCAGGTGGATGCTGCGGTTCCGACGAGAAGCACTACATCTACGGTGGCTGGGCCTGGGCCTGGTGGTGCATTTCCGACACACAGAGGTAGGACCCTCCTTCCCGTCTCTCTGGATGTGGCATGCCTTTGTTGTGACTTGGGGGGGGGGCGGGTGTAGTCCTGTAGTACAAGGAGTACCTTGGCAGGTTGCTGCTGCCTCCTGGGACCCTGCCCCCCCTTGGCTTTCTCCCTTCGCGGGCTGCCTCCAGCTTCACACTGGGGAGAGGACAGAGGGACGGAGCCGTTAATGGGAGGGGGGGTAAGAGACAGGACCCTTTCAGAGTTCCCCCAGTTGGGTGATCCTCTTCTCCTGTAAGGACCCTCCAGAAATGGGGTGCAGACATAGTTCACAACAGCCACCGTGCAGACCACGGAGTCTCTCTACCTGCGGGCAGGGGCCCAATCTCCAGACCAAGCCCAGCTTGGTGGTCTGGGGTCACATGCCCACCCTGTCCGTAGACGAAGGGCTTCCAGGCAGTCTGGGTGCCGGGACCCCTTCTGGGGGAGTGTCCACTTCCTGCTTTCTGGGCGGGGGGTGGCGGGGAAATAGGAAAAATGTCCCCCCCCAAAGTCACGATTGCCTGCTTCGAAAACAGCACAACTTTTAAATTGCCGCGTTTGAGGCACATACAGTTAGTCCTCAGCTTACAGTCAGTCACTTAGCAACTTTTCAAAGTTACAACAGCCCTGGAGAAAGATAACGTAGGGCCGGTCCTCACAAGTTCCTGCTTGAGCAGTGGGCTGGACTAGAAGACCTCCAAGGTCCCTTCCGGCTCTATACCGTTCTAAACTTAACAATCCTTGCAGCATTGCTTGATCGAAACTTTGGGCATTTGCAACCGAGGTGTATTTATGACGATTGTGGCGGCCTTGGGGGTCTCGCGAGCGCCATTGGTAACCTTCCCCAGCTAGCTTCCAGCCGGCAAACTCAATAGGGCGAGCCAGGTTTGTTTAATGACGGTATGATTCACTTAACAACTGCAGTGGTTCCCTTAACAGACGTGGCAGTAAAGATCGTAAAATGGGGCGAGACTCGCTTTGTCAGGGAAATGCTGGTTGTGATTGTGGCTGTACGTCGGGGACTACCTATCATTAAAATTATAATCAGATTTGAGGGCCAGTTTTAATGCCACAGTGCTTCTGCCCTGGGCTGGCACTGGAGAGCTTGAGATACGGTCCCAAAATCTCCTAAAAGGGGCCTTGCCATGAAGAAAACAATTCCTCAGTCCACACGTGGCGTCTTTTGGCAGTTTTGCCAGTGAAGAACAAGCTGGATCTATCACTTAAATAGGAGCCAGCCGTGTGCTGCAGCTGCCAAAAAGGCCAACACAGTGCTGGGCTGCATTAACAGAGGGAGAGAATCAAGATCACGTGAAGTATTAATAGCACTTTACAAGGCCTTGTAAGGCCACACTTGGAATCCTGCATCCAGTTTTGGTCACCACGATGTAAAAAAGATGCTGAGACTGTAGAAAGAGTGCAGAGAAGAGCAACAAAGATGATCAGGGGACTGGAGGCTAAAACATACAAGGAACGGTTGCAGGAATTGGGGATGTCTAGTTTAATGAAGAGAAGGACGAGGGGGGACATGATAGCAGCCTTCCAGTATCTCAGGGGCTGCCCCAAAGAAGAGGGAGTCAAGCTTTTCTCCAAAGCGCCTGAAGGCAGGACAAGAAGCAACGGATGGAAACTCGTCAAGGAGAGAAGCAACCTAGAACTAAGGAGAAACTTCCTGACAGTGAGGACAATTAACCAGTGGAACAACCTGCCCCCAGAAGCGGTGAATGCTCCAACACTGGAAGTTTTTAAGAAGAGACTGGACAGCCATTTGTCCGAAATGGTATAGGGTTTCCTGCCTGAGCAGGGGGTTGGACTAGATGACCTCCAAGGTCCCTTCCAACTTTATTATTATTATTAACATCCCTGATGGCTGTTTCAATTCTGGTTGTGATAAAAGAGAATATTTGTAGCTGGGTGGGTTTCTCGCAGACATTTCATGACCCAACTAGAATAGAATAGAGCTGGAAGGGACCTGGAGGTCTTCTAGTCCAGCCCCCTGCCCAAACTAGGTACCATCATCAGTGCTATGTTGAAAGGGAAAGGTTTCCCGGTCCAGCCGTGTCCAACTCTGGGGGGGGGCAGTGCTCACCTCCCTTTCTTAGCCGAGGGAACCAGTGTTGTCCGAAGACAACTTCCGTGGTCACGGAAGTGACTCTGCGCCACAGTGCCCAGCGTGGCCCAGCGTGACTCTGCGCCACAGTGCCTTCCCACGAAAATGGTACCTATTTATCTACTTGCGTTTGAATGCTTTCAGACTGCTAGCTGGGCAGGAGCTGGAGCAAGGAACGGGAGCTCGCCCCATCAGGTGGCGCTCAGGTCTTGAACCCCGGCTGTCCGCTTCCCAGCTGAGAAGCTCAGCGTCTTTAACCGCTGAGCCACCATGCCCTCTTAAGGTTAACATTGTGCTGTGTTTATAGGGTTGAATAACAGAACGAGGGACCCCAGGGGTTCTCCTAGTCCAGAGGTCACCAACCTTTGTCGGTTGGCAGACCGGAGGAAAAAGGAAGAGGAAGCATTTTACATGCATGCGCACAGGGCTGCAAGCACGTGTGTGCCGCAAACGAGGCGAGCGCCCGCATGATACTACCCCTGCCCCATTCTTGCGTGGCACAGTGCCTTGTTTCCGCACCCCGCGGTGCAGCGGCGTCACATTTATGAACCCCGAGGCGTGGCATCCTCTTTTTGCGCCCCGCGGCCGTGGCGCTAGCGCAAATGAGCCATGACTCACAGGTTGGGGACCCCCGTTCTAGTCCAGCCCTCTGCTCAAGCAGAAGACCCTGTGCCATTTCAGACAAATGGCTGTCCAGCCTTTTCTTAAAAAGGGTAAAGTAGGGTTAAAAGTACAGAGGGGAAAAATAAGGTTTACAAAGGGCAGACCCTACTCACTCCCAGCACTGATGACATTAGCTAGTTGGGTTGTGAAAGGTCTGCAGAAAACCACCCAGCTCAGAGAGCACCCAGGGACCCCACAATTTTGCTTGATTTGGACAGCGCCCCAAACTAAAGGACCAAATCAATCATGGTTGACTGACCGCTGCCATCTTTGTCCAGCCCTGGATTGGTAACATCCTCCCTGCCCCTAGAGAGAGGAAGGAGGCTGGCCCCTGGGGCAGGGGTAGGCAACCTTGGCTCTTTTATAACTGGTGGACTTCAACTCCCAGAATTCCGCAGCCAGCATGGGGGAACTATGGCTCCCTTGATGACTAGTGGACTTCAACTCCCAGAATTCCTGAGCCAGCATGGGGGAACTATGGCCCCCTCATGACTCGTGGACTTCAACTCCCAGAATTCCTCAGCCAGCATGGAGGAACTATGGCCCCTTCGTGCCTTGTGGACTTCAACTCCCAGAATTCCTGAGCCAGCATGGCTCAGCTTGGAAACCTCTCCCTTTCCCCTCAGCATGGCTGGCTGAGGAATTCTGGGAGTTGAAGTCCACGAGTCATAAAAGAGCCAAGGTTGCCTACCCCTGCCCTCGTGCAAACCAGGTCCAATTTGTTCCCCGGGTTCAGCCTCACAACAGTCACCCATTGATAGGAACCCCGAACCAGAAGCAGCAAACTCCCCCTCTTCCTCTTCTGCACCCCCAAAATGAAGCTCTTTGGATATCAATATGACGATGATATTTGTAGACCACCCAAAGCTGCTCTCCCGAGGGAGATCTCTGGCTAAGAAATATGAAATACAGCTAGTCCTCGAACTTACGACCGCAGTTGAGCCCAAAATTTCTACTGCTGAATGAGACAGCTGTTAAGTGAGTCCTGCCCCGTTTTACGACCTTTGTCGCCACGGCTGTTAAGCGAATCCCTGCCATTGTTAAGGTAGTCACACAGTCGTTAAGTGAATCCAGTTTACCCCATGGATTTTGCTAGTCAGGTCGCAAAAGGAGATCGCGTGACCGTCATAAATACGAGTCAGTTGCCAAGCGTCCAAATTTTGATCACGTGAGCCCCGGGGATGCTACGACGGTCATTAAGCGTGAAAAACAGTCAAAAGTCCTTTTAGTGCTCGTGTAACTTTGAACAGTCACTAAACGGTTGTAAGTCAAGGACTACCTGTGGGAATAAATATAAATAAGTAAATAAATCAGGATGACTTCGGCCTCCATTGTTAACACAGGAAGTTTACTTATAATTTCATTTTAGTGAAGTGTAAGAAAACAAATCATACGTCAGGGATAATACAGTAAGAAATAGGATACGTCGTGGGGATTCAAATAAGCTAAACGTCCGGAGGAAAACAAACAATTTAGGAAAAGAAAAATCCATATATCGATAAAGCATTAATTTGCCTCTAAACATTATTAAATGTAGATCATGTAAAAATCAATTGCTCCGTAGTCTCCTTGGTAGTAGAATCTAGACCAGGAGTGTCCAGGTTTGGCCCCTTTAAGACTTGTGGACTTCAGTTCCCAGAATCCCCCAGCCAGCATGCTTGAAGAGGGGACTTCCACTCCCAGAATCCCCCAGCCAGCCTGCTTGAAGAGGGGTGGGCTTCCACTCCCAGAATCCCCCAGCCAGCATGCTTGAAGAGGGGTGGACTTCCGCTCCCAGAATCCCCCAGCCATCCTGGTTAAGAGGGGGGACTTCCACTCCCAGAATTCCCCAACCAGCATGCTTTAAGAGGGGTGGGCTTCAGTTCCCAGAATCTCTGAACCAGCAGGGCTTAAGACGGGTGAACCTCAACTCCCAGAATCCCCACCTAGCATGGCTGGCTGGGGAATTCTGGGAGTTGAAGTCCACAAGTCGTAAAGGGGCCAAGCTTGGACACCCCTGGTCTATGTATTTATTTGTTTATATTCTGCCTTTCTAGACCGACCATCTCCCTCAAAAAGAGAGCAGACACTTCAAAAACCAATATTGTAAAGAACGCATCTCTTGAATCCATTCCTTAAAATCAGGAGTTTATGCTTCTCTTCATCCATGTAAAACAGGGGTCTTCCAACTTGGCCCTTTGAGGACTTGTGGATGTCAACTCCCAGAATTCCTCA